ATGTTCTTCACTCGAATGCCAACAAATTTGCGATGCTGTCTGCCTCTCAGTGAGTATGCGTGTTTTGTACGCGTAGATATATGTATCTGTCTGGATGGAAGTTGCGCAACGGTAATCACTATAAACAACAAAAAAAGTAATCTGGCATTACGAGTTCGAATTTCAGCTGAGTCCGCTTACGTTCATTTATCTCTAAAAATTTAAAAGGTAAAAAAAACGGTTTGTCCTATTTTCATTGGCATGCCAAAACATTTTCTCAAATGAGATCAACTGAATGAGCCTTCGTTTAAACTGCACACACATAATTTCTTAATCGTTATTATCAAATTTAAAATCTCCACATTTTTCCTTGAGCCAGATAGATCAGAAAATGTCTTATCACTGGCATAACAAAAAGGTGGCTTCAGTAAGGAAACTTTTACATTCGGATAGACGACTTTGTTTAATCGGTCTATTATTCCATAAAAAAAACTGTATTATTATTTATATATGTATTTATAAACAGAAGTAAAATATTGTTAAATTTCCAAAAGTTTTAAAATTAAGAATGTTCATCAATATACTTCAGGCTAACTGAAAATCAATCTAAATTATGGAAGATTCTAAGTGATGTAATTTAATGCCCCATGAACGAAAGTGAGTAAATGTTGCTATTGTTGATTTTTTAAAATTATAATGTAATTATTAATTATTTTAGTTCAGTTTGACAAATTAATTTATGTATTTATTTATTTTAAAATTATATTTAAAAATGATTTATTAATTAATTAATTTATATATTTGTTCATTTTAAATAATAGAATGTTTTGTGGCTAACAAGAATTTCGTTTAGTAAAGGAGATATTTGAAAAGATCCAGGCGTAGGTTTATATTTCATACGGACACCATCAAGAATATCTATCTATCTATCTATCTATCTATCTATCTATCTATCTATCTATCTATCTATCTATCTATCAGTCTCTTCATATCTACCTATCTATCTATATACAGGGTGTCCATAAAGTTCGTATGCACTTTAAACAATTTATAACTTTATTTGTATTTGCGATAGAAATAATCTGTAAAAAATGTTATAAAGTTTAATGTACCTAGTATTTCAACAAGAATCTCTTTGTCACTTTGGTCTGCGTGTTAGAGAGTTTCTAAATCAGGAATTTCCTAACAGATGGATCAGAAGGGGTGAACCATTTTATTGGCCTCCACGTTCGCCAGAATTGACACCATTAGATTTTTTTATAGGAACATGTGAAAACAATTGTGTATGCAACCAAGCCTAGTTCATTAGAAGAGTTGAAAGCTAAAATAAGTAATGTGATTTCAGGCTTTACTGTAAATCAGTTGGCAAAAGTTTTCCGTGAACTGCAAAATCGTATTACCCTTTGTATTGCTAATGATGGACGACATGTGGAAACTTAAATAAAATTTCAATAAAACCTTAAAAAATATAGATTTACTTCATTCTAATCCTTTTTACAAATTATTTCTATCACAAATACAAATTAACTTATAAATTTTTTAAGTGCACACGAACTTCATGAACACGTTGTATATATATATATATATATATATATATATATATATATATATATATATATATATATATTAAAGACATTTTATGTTTAACGTTCTTTTTACAGATACAAGTATTTAAGTAAATGCTCTGTTTATAATAAATACTTAAATACTTGTATCTATAAAAAGAACGTTAAACATAAAAATGTCTTTAATAAATAAATTGTCGGACTTTGTCCATTTCTTAATATATATATATATATATATATATATATATATATATATATATATATATATATATATATATATATATAGGAAGAGAGGTTGATATCGGTGAGAAAGCGCTTAGTTCTTGGCGCTTTGCCTTGGCTTGGTGTAATGCTTAGTAAGCTTGACTCGCTAGGTCGATTACGATGAGCAGTAAGATTGATCCTCACTAGGTGATTTGTACCAGATCTAAGCCGCGTTTAGTAAATCACGACTGCTTGTGTTGGCTTTCAAATGGAATGTTCGTCATAGAAGAGTTCATGATCACGAATTCTGCAACCATTAGGCTCGTAGGGGCGCCACACATACTGTAGTCGTTGTTGTGTTTTGGTGAAAGATAACCTGACGGAGCTCGTCCCTCTTCAGTCTCGTTTTGATGTCAGAGTCCTTCTTTTCTTACTCTACTGAAGCAAGATAACCTCGTCTGCTCTGCTATTTTACTTTTAGAGGAATGACTGGATTCATGCTTTTTCTAAGGGCATTTGTGCGAAGGGAACTATATACAACCATCTGAAATTTGAACTTTGCTCACCGATTAGACATTCCGCGTCGATAAACATTATGCTACCCGTATATGTATATGTACGTATGTAAATATATTTATATATTTATATGACATCAACGCCCAGAGGCGACAGGCTGTTTCATGCATTTAGCATATACCAGCCTGTCGCCTCTGAGCGTTGACTTCAATGTTCACTTTTATATTTATATACACGCCATCTCTGATATTGAGCACTTTATCCCATAAATATAGTACCTTTTAAAACTATATTTTTTATATATATATATATATATATATATATATATATATATATATAATAAAAATATATATATATATAAAAAATTCGAATGTTTTTCGAAACGAGTATAGTTACCTATATATATATATATATATATATATATATATATATATATATATATATATATAGGTACCTATACTGTTTCGAAAAACATTCGAATTTTTGATTTGCCAATAATCAAATCTATCTCGAAGGAAAAAAAAGGCTTTTAAAAAAGAAAGAGCTAAGAACATGAAAGTCTGTCGAAAAAAATCGCACAGATACAGGCTTGAAGCCCAAAGAAAAAACCCGACACGAGTAAGCAACTAACTAACAAAAGAGTTCAATACAACCGTAGAGTAGACTTAGATAAACCTAGTGAGCCAGACAAACCTACCTAGGTTTCACCTAAACGGATCGTCAGGGAAAGCTGGCTCTCCTCCCTGACGATCTGCTTAGGTGAAACCTGGGTAGGTTTGTCTGGCTCACTAGGTTTATCTATCTATCTATCTATCTATCTATCTATCTATCTATCTCTCTCTCTCTATATATATATATATATATATATATATATATATACAGAGAGAGAGAGAGAGAGGTGAAGCAAAAAGCCAGGCACCATAGTGATAATTTATTAAAAGTAAAAATTTATTTACTAGTTATATTAAATAACTAGTATATGTGCTGTTCAAAATGTTCCCCTTTTTCAAAATGTTCCCCTTTTTCAAAATGTCCCCCTTTTTCAAAATGTCCCCCCTTTTCAAAACACATTTTAACTGCATGATTCATTAACACATCGAAGAGATTCCTCTGCCATTTTACTGCATTTATATTTCATTCTTTCTTTGAGTTCCTCAATATTTCTTGGTCGCAAGTAAATTTAAATGGATCCATACAATCAAATTCAAGGGTGTGAGGTCTGATAATCACGCAACATGACCTCTTCCACCTATCCATTAACCCCTATTGTACTCGACTTTTGCCCTCACACACACACACACACACACACACATATATATATATATATGTGTGTGTGTATATATATATAGGTGTGTATGTGTGTGTGTATATATATATATATATATATATATATATATATATCTTACTTATTATAAAACGCAGATTGTGTGTGTGTCTGTACGTTTATATATTGGATCGGATTTCCTACATTTTTCAACCGATTTCAACAAAACTTCACAGGACTGCATAAAATTACCTTGTGGTGGTTCTGACAGCGCTAAACATTGAAAAAACACAATTGTTTTTGCACGAAATCAATTTGAAAACACGATAAAACACGATTCTGTCGCCAGAATGAAAGGGGGACAACTCACATCGAGTTATACTTATTATAAAACCCTGGTTGTTTGTTTGTGAGTGTGTGTGTGTGTGTGTGTTCGTTTATATATGGGATCGGATTTCCTACATTTTTCAACCGATTTCAACAAAACCTCCCTTTTTTGGCAGGTAGTGTTTCTTATTGTCTTGCACACTTTTTTCTTTATTTTTACATTCAGAATGCTTTAAAAATTCCATTTACAAGACAATTGTTTATAATAAAATTCTATTCAATCGGTAGACTCATACCGAATGAAAACAATGTTTTTGTTTGACCAATTCGTAAAAAAAAACAACAACAACAACAAAAAAAAAAAACTAATTAAGACATGCGTGTCCGTCAACCTTAAACAATAATCTTTGTCAATTTTATTTTTCAGTCTTTACGATGGTCGATACTTGATCAATCTCTTACTGTTACATCCCCGGTCAACGCCGGACTCTACTGCTAGTATATATATATATATATATATATATATATATATGTTAATAAACGTTCAATTTTAAACGTTCAATTTTAAAAAACTGTTTGAGCTATATATATATTTTAAAATTGAACATGGACATATAACATTGACGCAGTATATAGTATATATATATATATATATATATATATTATGCAGTGATTTTACATTAGAACATGGACATATCCACTAAAAACATATATATATGTAGATATATATATATATATATAGTATATATATATATATATATATATATATTCAGTAAGTAGACTGTAAGTTTACTCATTCAGTAAGGTTCTATCTTGAGTGTCTCTAAGGCTGCGTATTGGAGGAACCATTTGTTAAATAAGATATTCAAGCATTTCTTATTCGTTCACGTATGTTTATATACAGTCTCAGGGTAAGAGGCATTTTATTGCAGCGTATACATTCGATAAGTAAATAATGTAGGTATATACAGGTAACAGTATCCACATTAGTTATGCTGACTTAACAATATGCGTGAGTGGGACGAATAAGTACAAATAGTCATAGAATGTATTTTCCCAACGAGAGCCTCTCCTTCTGAAATACTTCTGACCCCCCCTCCTCCTTCAATTGCAACTCCTGCGCCCTCGTCTTTCATTTCCTTTGGCTTTTCCTCTTGTCGTGTTTCTTTCATTCGCGTGGCTGGAACATTACATCATATCTCTGTTACCCGAGACGGCTTCTTTGAGGTGAGAAAAAAAAAATGTAAAAAAAAAAATAATAAAAAAATAAAAAATAAAAAAAACACACACCCACGCTGAAGATATGATTGTTGGTTATCATGGCTGACATGAAAAGTTGCAAACATTGGCACGCACCAAACAAAGACGAATTGCAGTATAGCTAGAAGGAGAAGAAAAAAAAATTATTGCTCTGTTCATCTCTATCGCATTCTGCTCATATCTATCTATCTATCTATCTATCTATCTATCCCAATCTATCCCAATCTATTCGTATCTATCTATCTATCTATCTATCTATCTATCTATCTATGTATCTTGCTCTGCTCATATCTATCTATTTTGCTCCGTTCATATCTGTCTATCTATCTTGCTCTGTTCATATCTATCTATCTATCTATCTATCTATCTATCTATCTATCTATCTATCTATCTATCTATCTATCTCATTCCGCTCATATCTATCTATCTATCTATCTATCTATCTATCTTGCTCTGCTCATATCTATCTATTTTGCTCCGTTCATATCTATCTATCTTGCTCTGTTCATATCTATCTATCTATCTATCTATCTATCTATCTATCTATCTATCTATCTATCTATCTCATTCCGCTCATATCTATCTATCTATCTATCTATCTATCTATCTATCTATCTATCTATCTATCTATCTATCTCATTCCGCTCATATCTATCTATCTATCTATCTATCTATCTATCTATCTATCTATCTATCTATGCATTTGCATTATGCATTTCTTTCTTTCTCTCTGTCTGATTCCTTTCTTAATTTTGTACATATGAGCAGCCGTATCTTTGGCGTGTGTCGGAATTATGCAGTTATTGATGTGTGTTTTAAATCTGTATAACTCTTTCTTAATATCACCGGCCACAGCTTCACAGCGCCAGTTGTTGTACCTGTGCTTTCCGTCGCCAGTAGCTTTTTTTAACAGCTACTGTTGCTCGCTCTAAGCACAACCGGTTTTGAATCCAGAGTTGCTTCTCTGTAAGCCTGTTGCCAATCAAAATTAGGGAGCCCTGTCTGCTCTGCTATTAACCCCTTCCCAGCTGAAAATGGATACATGCATAATTTCCCAATGTTATTTCTCCGATAGCGGAAGCAACTGTCACAACTGGAATCTGGACTTGATACACCAACCCTACTGTCCAAGCTGATAACCGCAACGCTACGGGAACATTCTGAAGGCGTTGATGGAATCTAATTGGAGGAGACCCAAGAAAATATCATCTGGGAGTTGTGACGTATCTATCACTGATTGGTTCAAAAAATCTATCAGACAGTAAAAAACGTTGTGTATAAGTGAGGCTGAGGTAAGGAGTGGAGACGAAAATGTTGTAAGATGCGGATATAACCCTTTCTTATATCCCCGTGGGAATAATCTCTCCAATTCTATTGCTCGTTCAATGGTAAATGTTTAGACAAGTTACATTAATTAGTCCGACAAGTTGAGACCTTTACATCTCGAACTCGCTATTCAACTTACCCAATGTCGGGTCATCGTCATATCTATCTATCTATCTATCTATCTATCTATCTATCTATCACATTCTTCTTATATCTATCTATCTCTCTATTGCTCTGTTCATATCTATCTATCTATCTATCTATCTATCTATCTATCTATCTATCTATCAGATTCTGCTCATATCTATCTATTGGTATGTTCATATCTATCTAACTATTGCTCTGTTCAATCTACTTCTATCACATTCTGCTTCTATTTAACTGTCTCTCTCTATCTATCTATCACATTCTGCCCATATGTATCTATTGGTATGTTCATATCTATCTATTGCTCTGTTCAATTTATCTAACTTTCTACCTCGCTCTGTTCAATTCCCCCCCTCTCTCTATATATATATATATATATATATATATATATATATATATACCGGGCATAACCGCAAAATTGTCCAAATCGTATAACAGCGTAATTGTCCATTCCGCAAAATGTTTAATATCTAAAAAACAGTAAACTAATTGAGTTTTTTTTCCCACATTGTCAGATAAGAAGCTTTGCCATCTTGATACTATTTCTTGTAAGAATCACTAAAAAAAAACCTTTGAATTATACAACTTGAAAAGGATCATCATTTCAACATAGAGCTAAAGAGGTAAAGTAGAAAAGATCCAACTCAATCCATAAGACCTTTGGTACGCGAGAGAGCAGTTTCAGCTATGACAGTCCAAAGAGCAGTGAAGAAAGACTTGAAAATGTAATAGTACGTTAAACGTCTTTCAGTCTTAACATTTGAGAGAGTTGTAATCTTCCTATGTGCTGCATGCTGGACCAGAAAATTGCCATACTCCGTTTGCGTTATCTCAAATGCTTATGGGAAAGGATTCAGAAGATCTGCGGTCAGCACAACATCAGGTCTATATTCAGAAACCGCTCCACCCTACAGAGAAATTTCGGCCGAATAAAGCCTAACATGGTGGAGAACTTGAGCAAGAACGGATTGGACGTCATTTCTTGCAGCTGTGAAAGAAGCCGCTCCCTATAAGTAAAACTGGAAGAACATCGAAAAGCCGTAGTGAAAGTTGAGACAATGAAATCGGCCATGGGTGATCATGTATGGAGGGAAAAGTGTGCTCATCAGGCCCTGTTTAATGAAGTGAAAATACTGGACAAGGAAGAACACTGTAGAGTTAGACGTCTGAAAGAATTGGCGCATATAATAAGCCATGAGGATCTCATTAGTAGAACTAGCATAGAAATAAGTACTATATTTGAGCCGCTAATAAAGAAAGACAAATGACAGCAAGTCTTGAACAGCAGCAGCAGCAGATGCAACAATATTGACAAACATCAGCAGCAATACTCATCAGCAAGCAAGCAGGATAGATTTAAAGCTCCAAATCTCGCCTAGTTTACTAAAAAGTTGGTTCGTGAATATGGTAACATAGAAATTGAAGGTTCAATCCCTGGGTCGGGCAGTGCGCACTTAGACTCAGTGGAAACAGGACGAGCAATAACTGAACATTTCTAAAATAAAAGCTAGACGACATAACTCCTAGGAACGAGAACAGTCTTTTTTTTTAATTAATTCAACACCAAGCAAGGCGATATTGCCTCTAAGACGCAAGAGGCTACTGGGAGTGAAAGAGAATGAGAAGATACTTTGAAGGAATCGGAAACTGAATCCTAAACAGAAAACAATGGATCAACCTCTACTCCTGTTCAAAATAGCAGGATGATAATGAACCGGACGATTAGGGAATCCATCTACTCTTATTGAGAAATAAGATAGTAAATAAGATTTCAGAGTTTAGGCGGAGAAATTAGAAGTATAGAATTGAATTAGTGTTTAGAAGGAACCGGAATCCCAATATTAACCAAGAAATAAGAGTTAAACCTCTAACTTCTGCTCAAAAGAAGGCGAACCTATCTAGTGCAATTCAGAAAAAAAAATAATAGTAAATAAAATTTCAAAGTTTAGGTGGAGACGTTAGAAGTATAAATTTAAAGTAGGTTTTAGAATGAACCGGAAATGCAAGGAACTAGGAAACAAGCGTTAAACCTCTAACTTCCGCTCAAAAGAGCGGGGAAGGGTATGGACCTATCCTAAATCCACTAGACTATTTTCCCGTAGATTAAATAAAGGATTCAGTTCGGAATGCTGTCTCGATTACGCGGATTGATATACACATGATGAAGGCCGGAGAGTACAACAGCCGAAACGTTGTGATAACAACAGCAATAACAGCAATGATGAGGACACTGGTCCGAATGCACGAGGTTAAATCAAAGATTATTCGCACTTTCTCCTTGACATACCTCCAGACAAGAGTGCGGGTAATTTTTAACTTTTCCTCGTAAATAGTGTAAATAATGGCATTTCTTTATCTCAGAAATTAAGACAGAAACGATATACCAGAATATTTTTGTATGTTTTTTCAAGCGATTTTTCAGCTTCTTGTCAAATTAAAATTAGATTAAATTCTGAAGATTAATGTTCACTAATTTTCAAAGCAGTGTACTCGTTTTGCAACGGTTGGTACTTCTCACTTTCTTTTTACGTCAGGATGACGAGAATAAAGTCTTGCTTCACACGAACGATGTGACACCGTCTGCCGAGTAACTTTCGCGCTCAGAGTCTTCGGTTACCTGTCACGCAATGTCCGTTGCTGTGTCCGTAAAATCCTTCAGGAAATCTTAGAATTTACCTATTCTGGCGAAGAGTCGTTTTACGTGGCTGCCTTAGGGTTTAAAAAAGACTGTTGTAGCCTTGTTACGGCCAGAAATAAAGAAACAAAAGGGGGATTTGAGTTAAACAAATATATTAACAGAAGCAGTAATACAGACGAGAGTGTTACAGCAAAAATGTTAAGTCCGTCTGTCAGAGGTGACTGCTGGAAACTTCACTCCAAAAAAGGCAGTACCTGCTCCTATTTATAGCTGGGAGAGTCCATGCGTGCGTGGGTAAATTCCCATAACAAAAACTTTTAATGAGCTTCAATATTATGGAAATAAAATTCTTATATTTAAATATCACCACAGGATATGCATCAGGTTCAGCGATAGCCGAACATTTGAGTAAAAAACATCACTGTGTTCATTCTCATAGCCCGAACCTGTTGTCCGTGCTGAGTAAGGCTAATACCAATTATCATTTGAAGGTTTTGTTATCAGTATACATTGGTATGTGTGTTGTAAGGGATATCGGCTCGTGGTGAGAATTGGGAGAGCCGAGTTGGGATTGAGATTAACATACGCATTGGGAAATATATGAATCCATTCCTTCTCCCCTATGGGTTGGATAGCAGGACAGACTAAGTCCTATAGCCTTGGTTGGCAACTAGTCTACCGCGGAAAGAAATGGCGAACTACTGCGGAAAAAAATCTGCCTATGGCACATAAGTTCCTGATATATTAAGTCCTACCAACCACCTCTCTGTAAAAAAAAGTGGCTGATGGTCTTGAAGCTAATTAGGTTTTAAGGTTATATTTGTTGTTTCTATATGAACATTAATTTGGAAATTCATTTTTTAGATGCACTACATATTTTTTTTGAAGATTTTTACTCTGATGAGATAGGAGCGATACATCGGTTCGCTTACTTTTAATCGTTATATGTAGGAATTAAAAATTTATGGTGATATATATCTACTTTTTTTGCTAATATATATATATATATATATATATATATATATATATATATTGAAAAATGGAAACGTTTCATGAAATGGATTTGACTGTGTGTGTTTGTGTGGATGCTTAAATTATGAATCTTAGCATTTTTTCCATAAGATTCTAGGGATTAAAGATTTTTCGAATTTGATGACGACTTGAAGGTGAAATGCATTATCGAAATCAATCAAATCTATTTCCTGAAACGTTTCTATTTGCCAAAATGTAAAAAAAGTCTGTCCTGATTTTTAAATCGTAATTTAACAACACACAAGCACACATATATAAGATTACTTAAGTTTAAGTTTAAATATCTTATATAAATATATATATATATATATATATATATATATATATGTGTGTGTGTGTGTGTGTTTGCATGTGTGCGTATTTGTGTGTGTACATAATGGAAATTTTAAATTGACTTCTGATTTGAAATATCATTGTATAGCCCATAAAAATGGTTCACATGAATAAGTGGGCAGTCGACATATCTATTTCTCTTTTACTCAATCTTTCTCAATATATATATATATATATATATATATATATATATATATATATATATATATATATATATATAACCAGAGCTTGTTAAACAAGAGAAATGAATTGATGGTTACACGGTGGCCTAAAAATAAATATCTGCTCAAATATATTGATCGAGAATAATTTTTAATGTAAATTAAGCTTTTTTCAAAAGAACCACTGATCCCTCTTTACGCTTAATATAAAAATTAATATTTACAACTCTAAAATAATTTTATTCTTTTATTTTTTTAAATATATACATATATCCCGTTTATTTTAATTGCCAAATATATTTTTTAAATTAAAAAAAAAGCTGTAATCCCTTCATAATATTGAGGTAACCAGATATTTTTATTAAAATTTAAATTATGTGACAGTCAGTCTGTAACCAGGACTGTTGTGCATGAAACTCTGAGTCGTACCATATATATATATATATATATATATATATATATATATATATATATATATATATGTGTGTGTGTGTGTGTGTGTGTGTATGTGTATTTTATCCATCCCCGATAGCACGACTCGAAGTTTCATGCAGAACGGTCCTAGTTACACACTGATCGTCACCTAATTTAAATTTTAATAAAAATATATATATATATATATATATATATATATATATATATATATTGTGCATGTCTGATTAAATAAATTACATACATTATGTTTGATTATTTTAAGCATAATCCTTTCATATTCACGAATGTTTTTCTCTGTATTACAATCAAATAAAGCAAGAAATGCACTGTAACAGGGAAAATCACTCCCCCCCCCAACCAAGTACGTTCCATCTCTTTGGAAAGTTCTTGGGGAAATAAAATTGATTTTCACTGTTACAGTGCTTTTCTTGCATCATTTGATGCACGGAAAAATATTCGTGTAAATGAAAGGATTATGGTAAAAATAAGCAGGCCTGATATTTGTAATTTATTTAATCCCATACACACGTGCATATATATATAATGTACAAGTAAAAAAGTTTTTACTTAGCTCACTGATGTTACCTT